GTTGTCATATTCGGGGTCCTCGTCGCCTGGAATTTTCCGCTGTTTCTTTTCAGTAGCCGGAGCGTTAGAGCTCGGCGACCATTCCCATTCTCGCGCATGCGACCCAATAAGACTTATATATGGATTTACAGTGTTTTACAGCCCTTTCTAAGCACTTTACAGAGTTAGCATATTGTCCCCAACAATCTGAGTCCTCATTTTACTGACCTTGGAAGGATGGAAGGCTGAGTCAACCTTGAGCCTGCTGAGATTCGAACTGCCAACCTGCAGGCAGCCGGAAGTCAACAGAAGTAGCCTGCATTCTAACTTCATTCTAATCATTGTGCTACCACGGCTCTTAGGATGGGATTAATGTGCAAATCTGTTTTGGGATATTGCTTTTCCCCCCTATTATTACTATTTATAAATAATTGATTTCTTATCATTTTAAATACAGAAAATACCAAAAGACAGCTGTGATACGGGGCAGAACATCACTTGTAAAGTAGGCTATCCCTTCCTGTCTCCCAAGGAGGAGGTAAGATGATGAGTAAATCAGTGGGGATGACATGTGTATAACATATTTAAATATGTTGTTAGTTGCAAAGTCGTGTCTGACCCATCGCGACGCCCTGGACAATGTTCCTCCAGGCATTCCTGTCCTCTACCATCCTCTGGAGTTCATTTAAGCTCACACCTACTGCTTCCATGACTCCATCCAGCCACATCATTCTCTGTCATCCCATTCTTCTTTTGTCCACAATTGTTCCCAGCATTAGGCTTTCCTCCAATGAGTCCTTTCTTCTCATTAGCTGGCCAAAGTATTTGAATTTCATCTTCAGGATCAGGCCTTCTAAAGAGCAGTCAGGGTTGATCTCCTCTAGGACTGACCGATTCGATCACCTTGCAGTCCAAGAGACTTGCAGGAGTCTTCTCCAGTTTAAATATAAACAAATACAAATAATGTTTGAAAATATCTGTTCTCCTCCCACCACATTTTTTTTCCAGGTGGCAAAACCTTGAACAAAAAGTTTGTCCATTTGTATATCCAAGGTATCATCTTTTTCTATGCATTCTTGTAGCTTGTCATTTTTTAGATCCACATTCAGATCAGTTGCAGTCTTACCTGGTAAAACCTATTCCTCTTCCATAGCATCTTTTAAACATAGTTTATCTACAATGGCAGACACACTTAAAATTAACTTCCGAGTCTGCTGTTCACAAATATCTTTCAATATGTCCAGTGCTCCACTATAAGGCTCCATTCCGCGTTAGTAAGTCAAATTAAAGTCTTCTTCTCTTTTAATAGTATTATTTGGATCATTCTGCTTCCCTCTAGTGTTCAAGGTTCAAAGTTCCATACTATCATTTTTTAAAGAAATCATAGTATGCATGAATTTGTGTATGCGTAGATATTTCCATGCATGTCTGTGTGTCTGAATTAAAAGCGTATATTTCAACATTTCTCCAATTGGTATCCTACAATCAACAGAGGTTACCAGTTGGCAGAAAGTTAATATATCTCATGTTTACAATTCAAACCTACAGGAAACAAAACAAGAATGAAACGCAAACTAAAAGTAAAGAAGAAATAAATAGAGAAGCAGCAAATGGAATTCATATTTAGAACTTTGTCCTCAAGCACCTTCTCAAATGATGAATATTCTTAATTAGTTTGGCTAATTAAGAACATTCCACATTTAAGAATCCAACCTTATTGTGCACTTAACTATGATGCAATGAGATATAGTCAGATAGATGAAGTTGTTGCTTTCTTATTTAGTTTCTATACGTGGGATGGGAAGAATGATGTTTGTCCAGATGTTATCATAAGACAAATTCGAGATAAATATCAATAAAAGTAGCAGGAAAACAACAGTTCAGAGTTGAGGGGACTTTAGACTGGATCTTGAAAAGAGCAGAAAGTTGGCCTTGAAATATACTTAACCACCTAACTCAGTGATGGCTAACTTTTTTGCCAACGTGTGCCAAAAGCAGGGGGAGCACAGGTGGATCATGTCCGTGTGTGCCCACACCCATAATTTGATGTGCCCGTGCATGTTCACGCGACCCCCACACAGCCCCCACTTTTGACACATGATGGCACAGTGGACCCGTTTTTCTCCCTCCCCAGGTTCCAGACGCTTTCTAGGAGCCTGGGAAGGGTGAAAAAGGCCTTCCCCATATGGAGGCCTTCCAGAGGCTGAAAAGAGCCCATTTATGGACTTCCGGTTGGACCGGAAGATCTGTTTTTTGCTCTCCCCAGACTCCAGAGCCTTCCTAGGAGCCTGGGGAAGGCGAAAACAGCCTTTCCCATCCCCCGGAGGCCCACTGGAGGCCGAAAACACCCTGTTTGCTGACTTCTGGTGGGCCCAGAAGGCCCAAAAATCAGCTGGATGGTGCACGCATGAGTTTGTGTGCCCACCGATATGGCTCTGCGTGCTATAAGTTTGCCATCATCGACCTAGCTGGTTCATTTGCACAACAATATAACTTTCGTTAGATTACTTGTTGCTTAGAGAATATTGTGCAAACTTAGGGCCTATGTGAATTCAGCAAGCAGGTAAAGATGCCAATTCCACAAGAAATTCCATATGAAATTTCAATTACCAATTTATCTTTAATCATAAACTGATAAAAGAGGAAAGTTTTTTTTAAAAAAAACAATTGGTTGAATTTCAGAACATTTAAAAGGGTGGGAAGTCTGTGCATTTCAGGTGCCACTATAATACACTAGAACACCCCACTTTTGGCTATTTTCTTTATGAAAAGTCAAAAAATTCGCATTCTTGGATGGTTTAAATACACAAAAGTTCCAGGAAACCTCTTTCCAACACCACCAAATGGAATGCACAGGGTTTGTCTTATGTGAATTCTGAAAATCATAGAAGTAGACTAGAACCCATATGGGAACATAAACAATAAGAGGTCAAAGTGACAACAAGCTACATTTTGTGGGTAATATGTATTTATATATTACTAACCCCCGGATGCAAAATGGACCTGGTTGCAGAAAACAGGGAAGACTTAATGGCTTTGTGATCATAAGAACAATTTCTTCCTTAGAGCTCGTGACCAAAGAGACATTTATCTTCAGTTAGACAAAGTTCAGGCAACTAGACTCTTGATTCAGATCTTCCTTTGAGAATTGAAGCTTATGTGACAGGATATGTGAGAGGCCTGGCCTCTGGCCTATGTATGAGATCATGTGAACTTCCTATAAATATTCTATTTCCTTAAGGGAAAAACAGGAGAGTGGAATAGCCAAGTAATATATATATAGTATACTCAGTACAAAAAAGAGAGAAAATTTTAAACAGTATACCAATCAATATATACTGAATTTTTATAATATCTTATTTCAATTTTATACCACTTACCCATATTTTTCAGAGTATAAGATGTACCAGAGTATAAGATACACCAAGATTTTGAAGAGGCAAATAAAAAAAAAAGTTTTTGCATTCTGCAGACATCCCAAAAATGGGCCATTGTTTTGTGAAAACGAGCCCTTTTTTTGTCAAAAAAGGGCATGCACAGCCTTTAGGAGGTTTATAGAGAGAGTGGGGGGAAAATTGAGCAAAAAATGGACATTTTTGCTCATTTCTGCCCTCCCCAGCCCCCAGGAGCACTCTATTAGCCTCCTAAAGGCTATGCACGGCCATTTTTGTGAAGGGGGCAGGGTTTCGGGAGGCAAAAAAAATGCTGTATTCAGTGTATAAGACACACCCAGATTTTCAGCCTCTGTTTTGCGGAGAAAAGGTGCATCTTATACGCTGAAAAATACGGTACTTCAAATACCCTAGAGATGAAACCAATAAAAGAAAACATTTGTTGAACATTTGAAATGTTGTTGATCTCTGAGCTTGCTTGTTTTCTTGCAGATGTTTCATTATGGAAACTAGGTAACATCATGACTAGAACTGATGGTGTTACCCAGCTTGGATAATGAAATGTCTGCTGGAAAACAAGCAAGCTCGGAGAGCATCAAGGACCACTGTAGAGATGTCCTGGTGCTCTGGAACAGACATCCTTTTTGACTGGATGCCACCAAATGAATGAGTTGGAGTTCCACTAGTTATGCTTTAGGCAAAGGAAGGCCAAAAACAGCTGAAACCTTTTAGGTTGATGGAATGAAATCCTTCATGTTAAAATATACTTCTTGCCTTCACTCACATTGACCAGTGAAGACAGAACAGCTGTTCTGGTAGCATCCAGCCATCCTTCTCAGTCTTTCTGTATGACTGAGACTTTATAGAGTATAATTTATGTGGAATTCTGTTATTTTTACCAGATTGTCATATTCTGTCATCTGGCTCAGTTGTCTTGACAGGAACTTGGCTAAAAATGAACTTTCCCACAATATCTTCTCCAGTGCCTTATAAGCAAAATACCTTTACTACTTGCAGCTTTTTTGCTACATTGTTCTTGAAATATATTTATACAAAGCAGCTTTTCTGTTTAGTGCAATATAAACCCTCTTTTTTAAAAAAGTTAAAAACCTGCTAGTGAAACCCAATGGAATTGGAACAGAGAAACAATTGGTTTGCTTGGTGTTAAAGCAATAGAGGAAAATTAATTCAGTAGTCTAGAGAGAAAGAGACATAAGCTTGTTAGAACTATACAAGAGCTGGCAAAAGGGGAGTGAAACATTATTTAAATTAACAGTAATAAGGTAACATTTGGAAGTTGCTCAGACAGATTCCATCTTTATCCACGGAAGTCATCTTCCTTACTCTTTAAAATATTTCCTGCAGATTTCACATCTCTCTCTACTCAAGTTTCAGGAACCCCCTCTAATCCATATTATGCCACCTGGGAAAGTTAAGGGAAGTCATCAAAACCATAAAAAAGCAAAAGTTAGAATATTTTGGACATGTGATGCGACCCCCAGAAAAATGTAGCATACTTCACTTAATCCTCCAGGGAAAAAATTGAAGGCAAATGAAGTCCAGGCAGAAAAAGAACATGGCTTCAAAATCTAAGGGACTGGTTTGGACAAAACTCAGCAGTACTTTTTCATGCGGCTGTTGATAAAAATAGGATCGACAACATAATCACCAATGTCCAATGACAGATGTGGCACAAGAAGTTATTTAAAAGGAGATGTATCTCTACCATTTCAGCGGAATATTGAAAAAAGAGTTTCGTCTCAATAGCCCACCTGCAAAGTGATTTTTTAAAAAAATGCAACAACATGATTTAATTCAAATCCTTGCATTTCTACATTTCTATCAGCAGTTGTCAATCCATAACGGTATTACCACATTACTCATGACTATTGGTTACATTATTTTAAGGCTACGAACTGAACATTAATAACATCTATGTGACGGGCATTATAAAAATATTTTAAGCAACAATTTTCAAATGTTAAGTCCATGTTCATACCTGCATATTATATTTCTAAATTAAAACATAAATTTCAAATAAATTGTAGCACTATAATTATTTTGTCATTCACAGTCTTTTTGCCTTTCTTTTTCATATGTACACACTTTATATAGACTTTAGATAAATGTATCTATATGTACATAGACTCATTAGTCCAAATGTGCACGAGAACTTCATAACATGTGTGTGTGTGTGTGTGTGTGTGGGTGGGTGTGGGTGTGCATTCGTGGTTGTGTATACACTAGGGACCTCCTCCAGACTTTATATCCTCATCTTCATTTTATTGCTCAGTGTACAAAAAAAGAAAACATTTATTTTAGTAAGGGGAAATGTAATGATGAATTGTATTCAATTTTTAGCAATAGAGGTAGAACTTAGACTTATATACTGCTTCACAGTGCTTTTACAGCCATCTCTAAGCGATTTACAGAGTCAGCATATTGCCCCCAACAATCTGGGTCCTCATTTTACTCATCTCAGAAGGATGGAATCTTGAGCCTGGTGAGATTTGAACTGCCAAATTGCAGGCAACCAGCATTGGCAGAAGTGTCCTGCAGTACTGCACTCTAACCACTGTGCCACCTTGACTTTTTTGTTGAAAATATAATTGCAGTTTTATTTTATTTAATTATAAACACTGACATTTTATGCACTTTCTTTTCATTTAGATTTACTTCGAAATAGCAGTCCAGTTCAATGTGTCGCATCTCCTGGAAAATACAACAATTCACTTTTCTGTTACAAGGTTGGTACCAGTAATATCTACACAACTTTAGATTGAATTGGGATCCACTCTCTTATTTTGGCTTCCCCCATTGAAATTATGGGGAAGTTTCCATTGAATCAAGATTGCACAAAAGTACATTAGTCTATAATTTATTGGAATAAAAGACTAAATGGTGATATATAAAAAGAGTGAAATCAAATAATAAATTTCATTGAATGATTAAGATGTAATAAAAGAATCAATGGCAATATAGTAAAATAATACCTAAAGCAATGGTAATGTAAGTGGTTAAAAGGATTAATAAAGGGTAAATTTTAAACTATTCAAAGCTTAACCAATGGCAAATCTTATATTAATTCAAATCAGAAAAACTGAATGGAGTTCCAACACTTGTAGGTTCCATTTATAGCGTAAGCATATTTAAGCATCCAAACTATTAAATCCTAAAACAGATTCATTATCTACTCCTTTAGTGGAAGATTCAATGATCTTTATGGTTTTCAGCTTTGGGTAGAAATAAGAAAACTTAATAAAGAAAGAAAATATAAAGAAATTCAAAGGGTACAATACTCTGTCCATTTATAGTGGAATAAAAGTTTAAAGATCTTGAATTGAGTGGGGGGATCCTGACAGCATGGTGGTAGTGGTGCAATGGTTACAATGCAATATTGCAGACTAACTCTGCCCACAGCCAAGAGTTTGATCCTGACCAGTTCAAGGTTGACTCATCCTTCCAGCCTTCCAAGGTCGGTAAAATGAAGACCCAGATTGTTGAGGGCAATATGCTGACAGTGCAAACTGCTCAAAGAGTGCTATGAAGCACTATGGAGCAGTATAAATCTCTACTGATGTTAGTGC